TATCTTCATCCCTGCATCACTGGCCACCTCCTCTAACCTTGTTTTTTAATGTCTGCCTTTTCATTATCAACTCCTTCCTTCAGGATGTTCCACAAAGCAACACATGTTGACTCGTGGTAAGTAGCATCAAATTAATAGTTGCCAGTGTCTCGTGTGACACTAGTAGGTCTGCAATTGCATCAATGAACAGAGTTCACTTATTATGGCACTCGGTCGCTTTGTCTGTGTCCTCACGCAGAATGCCTCCCCTGTGTTGATAGTTGACAATAAAGGAAGTAATGATAGAAGTCGAGCGCTAAGGGTATAACCTTTACAGGGCGATGGAACTTCATATGCTGTCGGGAATGGATTTGACTATCAAGAATCCGATGTGCAGTTTTTCATCGATGGGTTGACAAACTGTAAAGAACCTAAGACAGCCATGCCTAATAATACTAGAACTCGGTGAAAAGGTTTGTATTTTGTTTCCTGATTGAATTCCTATAACTACGGCAACTGTTTCAATAGTTTCATCGTTAAATTTTTTCAGATCATGAGGATGCGATGTAGTAAACAAGATCATCATAGTAAATCTCCTTGAAAAATAAAGTGCTTTGTGAAGAGTTAACTGTTCTTAATGTGCCGCGCACTTCACTTTCATTCATAAATCTGAAGACATCTGAGTGCACATCCGAAACGTAGAGTGACTAATTTTGGGCAACCACGTTTTGCTTTTTTGGACGGACTCTAGCAGGAGAGCCTAGTTCTCATAGCTGATCTCAAGATCTTCGCCCGAAGCTTTGAATGTGTAAGGAATTGGGAAAGGAAGATTATTCACTGAACTGGGGATTATTTGCTGGCTTTCAAGCGTTTTGGTGTCAATCGCGACTTTTGAGTACAGCTTTCCTCAATCAACGAATTTTTCAACGTTTAGGATAGCCTTTCATACGACATTCCCCGATCTTGCCTTCAACACTTAACCACCTGTGCAAATATAGTGGCAGTTATCAGTTGAGAGACTTTTTTCAATCTCAAACGGCGCGGTCAGCGAAAACGAGACTGCCTCAAGCTCGTAGAGTGTATGCGAAATCAGCTGAAGGCTGCTTTCATAGTTTGCGGTCCGTGCGGATCCGCGCAGACCGTAAGGACCACAGCCTGAGACGCGTCGCGTAATTTTTGTGATCCCAATTTTGGAAATTGCAGCTGGGAAGTTCGATTATTTTCGGAAACGGCGTGTCAATAGTTTGTAAACTCCACAACACTGATCGTAAGAGAATTCAGCGCATTAACATCTGATAAATTATTAATTTGTGGGTAACTCTTATTTG